TTTTCACTTGAGCTTAAAATACTGAATGTCTCCCCATCTTTCTCTGAATTTAGAACACAAGCTTTGAAACTGGTTCTCAGCTAAGTAAACCGTTATGAGAATGTTCTTATGCTCCCAGATTTATATTCTGAAGGTTTAAGTACAGGCTGAACTTGATAAACAGCTGCTGGTTAAAATCGATACATCAGATGTATTGCATACGTACAGAATCTGAAGAGCAGAGATTTTGTCTTTGAGCACCTCCTGTGCTTTGTTGAAGTCCGACAGCATGTTCTGGGTCTCCCTGCTGTGAGCCGCGCTCAGCTCGTTCAGCTCCCTCTCGTGCCTCTTCGTCAGCTCCTGCTCATGAGCCCTAAGGAGACAGAGAAGCGCAGAGCTGAGTATCCCAGAGGATTGATTCTGCTGATGTGTTAAACACTGCAGGCGTGAATCGCTGATTAGCTTACAGTCTCAAACACAGAGCAAACCTCAGTAGAACTGTAGCTGCTTAGAATTGACCCAGTTTGTAAAGAAACATCAATCTGAACACAAATCAGTTTGAACATGCTTAACACCTAACGGAAAGAAAAAAAACATAAATAACTCAGCATTAAATTCATATTTTCCTTTATATAAAATAGTCAGGATTTAAAAAAGTGTCTAAATAGAGAGTGAAAGTTAGTCAAGATATGTTAAGTTTAACAGAAACACAGCTAAATGTGCCAAACTGTTGATATACACTTGGACATAACTTCACTGCATTCATTTCAAGTGTAAAAATGTTTAAAAAGTTATATGCAAAAGATACCCCTTAATCTAAACAGATGAGCTCATAAGTAAAGGTGAAATATTTTAACAAACTGTATCAGTGCAGGTCACTATTTCTCAAATAAGTATAATTTTATTCTTCATTTATTAAAATAACATTAATAAATATAAAAAGAGTACAGATATCTTTCCCGTTTTACGTCAAAGGCTCGATGTAGTTCTATAAAGCGAATCAAAGAACTGTGTTGAGTTGAATCATTTTGTGCCACATCAGAAGCAGCAGGAATTTAAATAAATATTTCTGTTCATAAAAGTCCAGGTCTAGAACACGGTGACGCACACAGCAGCTCTGGAAACGAAAGAAACCGATCTTATTTTAATCTGTAAATGGCCAATGTTTTGCCTGAAGGCTTAATCAGGACGTGCAGACCGCGTACGTCTCTCCCAGTAGAGGCAGAAACATAATTGATTGCTCTGCGGAGGACACGCCGGCGAGATCGGAAAAAGGAGACGCCTGATGCATGGAATTAATTCAAAAACAAAACGGCATGAAAACAAACAATGGCTGTAATTAAGATGGAGAGAATAACAGCGAAGGATAATGAAAAAATCTGCACCAAATTAAGAGTAAATGTGGCGAGGAGCGAGCAGCGAATTTGATGTGTTCAAAAATTTATTACATCAAATAAATGACGCTGAAAACTGATGGTTTCTAAGTGGTGGAAGAAGATGGAGTGATGGATGCTGAAATGGGAACAGAAGACCATAATAATGAAATGAGGAGTAGAAAGAGGCTGCTGAAAGTGAGCGGAGGGAGAGAAGGGATAATAGAGGGGGTGATGGTGGTGGTGAGTGGATGTCTGTCTTCCTCTCACTCTGACTAGGCCAACTCTCCCCGAGGGGTGCACATCTTATCTCTCCCTGCTTCCTCTTTTTTTATTTATCAGTCTATTTTTATCCCCCTGACCAGAATTCAAAAGAGGAGTTATGTAACAGGAGGAGAGGCCCATCAGCGCCAAGCGAGGATGGGCGAGCATAAAGGCGAAATAACAACGGATGATGGAGCAACAGGAGAGCTGCTGTAAAACAAACAAAACCTCTAAATGGGAAAAATATGGGATGATTGATTTTAATGAGCAGCTGGACCGCATCAGCTGCAGAAACTGGCTTTAAAAATTCATACCTTGCCGCAAGGAACAACATGACTTCACATTAGGTTTCCGTTTTGCTTTTACCCAAAATAACTCTCACATTTCCAAATCAATGAGCTCCTGACATCAGCGGAGAGAAGGAGTGGGAGGGAGGTGCAGATTTGTGTTTCTCTAGCTCTTTCATTGGGTGTATTTCCGTCATCCAAATATGTTTCAAATTTAGCACTGCATGTTGGTGACACATTCAGCACCTCCATGTCTTTGGGTTTTGGAGGGTAGGGAAGGGGATAAGGTGTCATGAATGGCTTGATTATTCATTTCATTCACCTTTCTAGCTATCAGAGCCAGATTATTCGAGCCTTGGTGAGTCTTCAAGCAAGTAATACTGTTTTTGATCGCCTGATCCTGACCCGTTCTCCCTTTGAGCCTGCCTGTTCCTGTTCTGTTTGCCTGACCCGTCTTCAGATTTGGATTCTGCTTGTTTACCGAACCTGGAACTGTTTCCTGACACCGTCCTGGATTTCCCTTCGTTACCTCTTAGCATCTCTAATCTTTTGGCCCGGACTACTGTGAACCTACTCGACACTGGCTTAGGTTCCGCCCTCTTGGATTATCCTGCCTTCCTTCGTCTGCATGGATCTTATCTCCTACCTCTTCAGTCTTTGATTGGTCAGATCACAAGCTGGGCGTTACTCAGGCTGCTGAAGAGGTACTATTAACAAGTGACTGGGAAGTGTGACAGACTCACAAACTTTATTTACCTGCTCCACCATCATCTGACGGTGAAACAAAAAAAAAAATAAGCCTCTAAAATGGCAGCAGTAAAAACAATGAATGCTGACCCGACCCTGAATTGGCTATTTATAAGTTACAGCTGTTCACCTGGAAGAAATGAGATGTAGGTTTACTCTTTCGAGCATTTCAGGGGTCATCATGAGGAACAGTCATATTGTTCTTTTTATC